CTCACTGGGTTCTTGGCCCCAAGAATGACTTCAGGTCTCTCTAAACAGCCAGCCGCTCTGCAGGCTGCTACTTATTCACTGTCCAGGACACTTCCCACCTTTTGCCAGACTGCCCAGCCACGGTCTCCTCTTGATTACTCTCCCACAGGAGCCTCCATGCTGCACTTCCCCGGCTCTGCCCGCCCCTCTCTGGATGGGGAAGCACCTGCAGAAGACGGGCCTACCTGGGCCATTTGGCAAAGGGTTTGGTCACCCAGATTTTCCTTTACTGTACACACACAGACAGTATTACCTCTCCATGCCATAGACCAATTCCATCCATAATTTCTGAAGCGAGTACAAAGTATCTGGGTTCACAAACACTGGGAAGCTAAAGAGGAACAGTGTTTCTTCTGCTCTGACTTGAAAGCTGCTGTTAGGGACTGATGCTTGTATCCCTCCCAAATTACTCTGTGGAAGCCTTAACCCCTGATGGAATGGGATTAGAAGTGGGGCCTTTGGGAAGTGATTAAGTTCAGCTGAGGTCATGAGGGTGGAGCCCTCATGATGGGACTGGTGTCCCTATAGGAAAAGTGCTGACTGAGCACTCGTGCCTGCTCGCTCTCTTTCTCTCATGGGAGTGCACACACCTAAGAAGGCCATGTGAGGACACAACCCAGAAGACGGCCCTCACCAAGATCCAGCTTGCAGGCACCCTGATCTCAGTCCCAGCCTCCAGGACTGTGAGAAATCAATGTGTGACTTTAGTCTGTGGAATAGCCAGCTGAGACAGCTGCTGATGTTATTTAGCAAACAAGCAGGGACACACTGAGGAAACCCTACATCCTCTGTCCTCCCGGCCACCCTCCATAGTGAGAGAGGTGCCCTGACTCCTTTTTCTCTACAGTGCTGGAGTTCTGGCGCCCATGGGACCGGGAATCAGGGTGGTGTGCACTTGCATCTCCAGCCTCCTTTCCCATGCTGCGGCCCTCCCCAGCTCCACGAAGCACTCCTGTCCATGCGGTCACGTTCTCCAGAGCTGTTTCTCCCAGGAATCCCGCCTGGCCAAGCCAAGCCATTCTCCTTCCCTGATGTGACCTCTGTCCCTCACACCTCTGAATTTTGCCATACTGGCTTACACACATTTCCACTGTTCTCTAAGCCATTATGACTTTTTCCAAATAATGTCCCATAACCCAGTATGCTGTAGTAAAGAACATTCTCTGGGGGGTTTGCTATATTCTTGATGCCCAGTAAAGTGCACCTTTATCGTACATTTTTTGTTTTTTGAATCAGGGTCTCACTCTGTTACCCAGGCTGGAGTACGGTGCTGTAATCATAGCTCACTCCAGCCTTGAACTCCTGGGCTCAAGCGATCCTCCTGCCTCGGCCTCCTGGGTAGCTGGGACTACAGATGCATGCCACAATGCCTACTAATTGGTTTTCTTTCTTTCTTTTTTTGAGACAGAGTCTTGTTCTGTTGCCCAGATTGGTGTATAGTGGCACGACCTCAACTCACTGCAACCTCCGCCACTTGGGTTCAAGTCATCCTCCTGCCTCAGCCCCCCATGTAGCTGGGATTGGAGGCACGTATAACCATGCCTGGCTAATTTTTGTATTTTTAGCAGAGATGGGGTTTTACCATGGAACTTCTGATCTCAAGTGACCCATCTGCCTCAGCCTTCCAAAGAGCTGGGATTAAAGACATGAACCACCATGCCTCGCCATTTTTTTTTTTTTTTTTTTTTTAAAGTAGAGACAAGGTCTCACTATGTTTTCCAGGTTGGTCTTGAACTCCTGAACTCAAGCAAACCTCTGGCCTCAGCCTCCCAAAGTGTTGGGATTATAGGAGTGAGCCAATGCACCCGGCTTATTGTGTCTTTTTGTGTACTCTGAGAATGAGATCCTGTTCATTATTTATTTTATGACTTAAGATGTTTCCTGGTCCAGTGTGCAGTAGCTCACGCCTGTAATCTCAGCACTTTGCAAGGCCAAGGGGGGTGGATCACCTGAGGTCAGGAGTTTGAGACCAGCCTGGCCAACATGGTGAAACCTGTTTCTACTAAAAATAATAAATCAGCTGGCCGTGGTGGTGGGTGTCTGTAATTCCAGCTACTTAGGAGGCTGAGGCAGGAGAATCACTTGACCACGGGGTAGAAGCTGCAGTGAGCTGAGATCGAGCCACTACACTCCAGCCTGGGTGATGGATTGAGACTGTCTAAAAAAAAAAAAAAAAAAAAAAAAGGCCAGGCATGGTGGCTCACACCTGTAATCCTAGCACTTTGGAAGGCTGAGGTGGACAGATCACCTGAGGTCAGGAGTTCTAGATCAGCCTGACCAACATGGAGAAACCCCATCTCTACTAAAAATACAAAATTAGCCAGGCGTGATGGCACACGCCTGTAATCCCATATACTCAGGAGGGTGAGGCAGGAGGATCGCTTGAACCAGGAGGTGGAGGTTGCTGTGAGCCAAGATTGCACCATCACACTCCAGCCTGGGCAACAAGAGGGAAACTCCATCCTCTCAAAAAAAAAAAAAAAAAAAAAAAAAAAAAAAAAAGGTGTTTCCCAGTTGGCAACACTACTTTTGAGGCTTTTTTTTCCCCTGGTCAATAATGGATTGACCATTATTGGTCAATCCGACTGAGCAAGTTATTCACTAGCCAAATAGGATGGATCACAAGTTAATTAGTGACCCACTATCCAACCCACTTTAAATGGGCTAGCCTCCACCAAAGTGGTTGCGGCCCCTTGCACAGATATTTTTGGGAAATTCATCACAAAAGAGAGAGCTTACACTCCAACTTCAGTGCTCTGTAATGGGAAATCGTTCCTGAACTAGAATAACTTTGAAAAAAAAAGTCCAAGGTTTTCTTCTTCCTTGGTCACTGAGGTGATGGGTCTGGGACTGAGGGCAGCCCTGGAAGAAGGCTCTGAGCAGACTCGCCTTGCTGCTGCTTAGCCTTTTCTGACTTGAGAATTCCTCCTGTTATTATACAAAATTTCAGAATTCCATTTAGGAATTAAAGAAGAAAATGGGGGGAAGCACTGTTTAAAAAGCAAGAACTGCAAATGAAAAATAGTTAATTCTATTTCAATATATTACTATGTAAAAATTTCAATTGTTTATGACCTGATGTTTATAATTCTCAAATTTTTCTTTAGAAAATATCAGCTGGTTTACTTTTATAGTTTTTCAGGTTTGTTTTGAAATAAAGAGGCAAGCGGAAAAGTTCCAAGTTTCTGTTTATAAGCTCCTCCTGAGTATATGGGCCACTTTTATTCTAAATAAATAAAAAGGTAAAATGAATTTAAATTATCACAATATTTTCACTTTTAAAAATGCTTTTGAAGTACCAGAAACACCTTGATGTGTTCCGAGAAAATTTTCATTCCATGAAGACGACACATGAATCCCAAGCACAGGGCCCATTTACTAGATGGAAACATGGAGCCCTGCGTTCAAAAAGCAGAAAAAAAGGTTTCTGCTTTCATCAAGGGTCTCTCTCTCAAGCTGTCACGCTGCTTATTACTTGCTACTTAATGTTGTGCTCCCTCAGGCACACGGACAAACATCCCCCCCTGCCAGTATGGCCCCTCAAGGGCACCCAGGGCCCTAACCTGTGACTTAAGCTCAGGACTCAGACCAGACCCTGACCCCACCCATCCCTGTGCCAGGGCCCCCGCTTGGGGTGGAGGACACAGTGATCATGGGCGAGATGAGGAGGGGGAGGCCAAGCAGAACCCAGGCATCCCGGCTCAGGGAGTGGGTGGCTGAGAGCTCATTGTAGGAAGGTGGGAAGGGGCAGGAGACAGGATTGCGTGTGGGCTGAGGCCCCAAGGTCCTGGTGTGTGTTCCACTGTGCGATGGAGCTTCACTTATAAAGCAATTCAAAGGTAAAAAGACCCTAAGATTTTAAGATAGTGCCACAGAGCATTACACCTCAAGCTCTGGGTCCCATGTGACTGTCCTGGTGGCACACCATAGAGCCAATCCTGCATATACCTGAGAAGGATCATGGAAAGGTACAATTGCAGAACTTTTTTTTTTTTTTTTTTTTGAGACGGAGTTTCGCTCTTGTTACCCAGGCTGGAGTGCAATGGCACGATCTCGGCTCACCGCAACCTCTGCCTCCTGGGTTCAGGCAATTCTCCTGCCTCAGCCTCCTGAGTAGCTGGGATTACAGGCACGCACCACCATGCCCAGCTGATTTTTAGTATTTTTAGTAGAGACGGGGTTTCACCACGTTGACCAGGATGGTCTCGATCTGTTGACCTCGTGATCCACCCGCCTCGGCCTCCCAAAGTGCTGGGATTACAGGCTTGAGCCACTGCGCCCGGCCTAAATAGACTGTTTTTTTTTTTTTTTTCTTAAGATAGGGTTTCACCATGATGGCCAGGCTGGTCTTGAACTCCTGATCTCAGATGATCCACCCACCTTGGCCTCCCAAAGTGCTAGGATTACAGGCGTGAGCCACCGCACCCGGCCTTTGAACTATTAATATTTTTATGTTTCTCATCTACCTCTTGGATTTCGACCCATCATTCCCTATGCTGCCTGTCTTAAACCGGAGGTTCTTTGGAGGTACATACTTGACACGGTATGACTACATAACAGCACGTGAGTGATAAGTCAGCAGCACGGTCACCTGCTAGACAACAAGCTCAGAGGGGCAAGGAACCTTTCTCAGAACACATACAATTGCTGTCATTTGGGAGAGCTGAGGACTCAGACATACGGGACGTGTCTGACCTCTCAAGGCCTCTGTGGTTGGCCGATTCCACAGAGAGCTGTAGGAATTAGCAAGGCAGTAGGAGCTGGCTTTCATTTGCTAGTGAAGAGATATCCAGAAATGATAATGATATCCCCACTGTGCAATTGCAGGACTTTCTCCATACCAAGCTGTCTGAACAACAGGCCATTAGCAGGCAGAACAAACAGTTCCACTTAACTCAGGATGTAACTTTTACCTGTACATCATGAATCTCACAGCACCTCTCATGGAAAGAGCCCCTTACCTCATTTGCTGTGTTGTGTGTCCCAACGATCCGGATGAAGGAGGCAGGCTGCCTTTCAAAAGTTACTGACTGCCAGGACCTGTGAGAGGAAACAACCATTTGCCTGGTTAGACGGTGCAGTTAACTCTGACAGTGTGGCTGGTGGAGTCACATCCACAGAGGAGGGAGGGCTTCCTGTCCTCCGGGACCTGCACTGCAGGGGGCAGGGCCAGGGCTGCACCAAATGTATGGCTGGGAGATGCAGGATATACAGTGTCCCTATTCAGGAGCCTACAGTCCCATCACAGAAGGCACTCTTCCCCATCTGTGAATGTCACTTAGGGTTCTTACAAAGCCCTCCATAAACAAGCACAGAGTGCAGACCAAGCCCTCATTACAACAAGAGTTCAGACAAATAAATGTAATCACAGCGGCAGGAGCCCATAAATACATCTCCCCATCTATAAGATGGGGCCATAACGGGGCCAACCTCAGGGCTGCTGGCAGAATGACCTCAGTGATTCATCAGACGTATATCCAGTGGGGAGCAGTTACTCAGCATGGGAGGCTTCTGGAAGGAGAAGAGTTTTGAAGAGGGCAGGGATGTGGGAGGGCTGAAGAGTTCCAGGACTCAGGTTGGAGCAGTGGGGTTCCTGCCCTACCATCTGACCCCCACATGTGAGTGATGGCACATGGGGGCGGTGACAAGTTCTCCACAGGCCTCTACCCCTTCCTTTCCTGCTTCCAAATGCCGCCCCCGACACCATCTTTTCTCAAGACTGGCCTGTCTCTGTCTGGGTGGTTTCAAAAGCATCCCCAATATTTTAAAGGCAGCTCCTCATTGATCAGCATGGGCCAGGCCAGCTCATTTAAGACTCAGCAGAGCAGGCCCTGAACAGACCCTGAGAGGAGGAGTTCTGCTCTTGGCTGAATGCTCAGGAGCTCATCAGAATGCACCGGAGGAGTGCATGGCGCCCACGACTGTAAACTCCAATAATATTTTCTGTAATAAATGTGAGGAGTTCACAGTTGTTGCCATCCCTCCTCCGCTCTCACAGTGGAAATGCCAGCTGCTGGGAAGCTGTTTCCTGTAATTGTCTAATTACCAAGTAATGCTAGCAAAGAAAATATATATGTATTTGCAGTTTGTTTTTCCCCTTTGGTTTCAGGTGTTCCATCTTCCCTCTCACTATGAACCTCCCACTGAGATTGATTCACTGCCGCCTGGACACCAGTCCCCTTAAGGTCATTAAAAAGTCATTACCATCTTGTGTGCAAAGTCTGTGTCCCTGAAAGCAGTTTTGTGGAAACAGACTAAGGACAATCACTCTCTCCGTAAAAATGCTATTCTTCACACACAAAGTTGATACCATCTGAACATGCCTAGGGCTTGCACTGGTGGTCTATTTTCTTAGTGGGCGACTGCTGTCCTCTCAGACCCCCAGCTGTCTTGGGGAAGGTCTGCTAGGTGGGTTGCAGCCTGTGGGCCGGCAGGGCGCTGTGGGGTTTCCACGGGCCTAGCTGTGTCTGGTGAGCCAAGCAGTGGAACGCACCACACACTCACGTCCTTCCCCCAGCAGGTGAGGGGGAAGTGAAGGGAGCCACTCCTGGCCAACGTTCACACTATTTGGGACATCAGAGTCCCATCCATGTCCCTAAAGGAAGCTAAAGAGTACACTAAAGCTGGCCCACTGGTTGCTTCTTGGGCCACGCCTCCAGGAAAGGGAAACTACTGTGAGTGACAATAGCTGGTGACAGCTATTGGGTTCAAGTCGCAGTTTCACAAAAAGGACTGGCATGGGGAAGCAGCGGGAAGGGAAGAAACTGAGCAAAGATTTTATTATTCTCAGCCTTCCAGCTCGATGCCTATCAAATCTCCAGGTGATTCTGGACATAAAGGTACAAGTGGACAGTTGGAAGCTCTTGGTCCTCAACAACATGCGTGTGGCTCTGAGAATGAAGACGGGCCCAGAATCATGGCCCTGTGGTCCCACACATTCCTCCCTCCATGATGCAGAGGAGGCTCAAGGAGCACAGGCAGTGACACGGTCTCGCTGGGAGCCGTCCTGGGCAGAGCCGGCCTGAGCCTGGGTCTCCCTCTCCTCTCTCCCTTGCTATTCCTCTTGCCTCCGCTCCCCTCTCCCTACACTAGGCTGCTGCAGTGGGCTTAGGGCTCTGGGCTCTGGCCCCACTGCCCTTGCTTATGCTTGGGGAAGCAGGGGAGGCAGGGCTGGCAGCGCAGCAGCCTGAGCGTGAGGGAACATTTGAAGAGTAACAAGATCAGAAGGTCTCAATTTAATACCAATCCCCCATTACAGTGCATTAATATCTAATCACACTGGACTTCAGCCTGAGAGTTGAATATATGATTTCATTTTCAGCAGAGCTGGATACCAATTCTAAGACCAAAGTATCAGCAGAAAGGGAAGTTGGTTAGGATGAGGAAATGAGGATTTCTCTCCCCGCATCAGATTCCACTTCCCCTGAACTTCTTCAAAATAACTTGCCATGCTGCTTGAAGGGGAAATGACAAGGTGGCATTGGAGTGGTCACCACCATGACTGTGCCACATCTGCAATCACTGTGAAACCTCAAAGGAGCTGCCTCAGCTGAGATTTCACAGGGCCAGAAAACCGCCAGCATTGTTTAGTCAATGCAAAAGCTTTTACTGGGCTTTTAGTGATAGCTGCATAAACATTCCAACCACCAGGTACCCAGAATCTCTTCTCTAGTAGGCAGTTCTTCCAGGAAAGACAACAGCCCACTAGAGGCCTGGCAGCCCACCCACTCCAGAGCCAGGGCTGGGCACTGAGAGGAAGGTGTTTCAACAGGAACAATGAATGTCAAAAAATAAATGTGGTCTTTGCTTTGAGAGCTTAATACAATCAAAAACCCCATACAGGATTGAAGTCCCAACCCCCCCATACTGGCTCAGACTGGATGAACTGTTACCCTCTCCTGAGTGTACTTTCCTCATTTAAACAATGTTGACAGAAATAACACCACTCACCTGCTCACAGAAACGCATCTAGAATGAGGTCCCAATGATGTTCAATTGTAAATATGTATCTATACACATATGTGTTACTTTTAAATTTTTATTTTTTATTTAATAAAAACTTTTAAACTTACTTTTTAAATTTTTTGTTTATTCTCTCCCATGCACACATGTGCGGAACTATACATGTCTGTATTAAAACAGAGATGTCTATAAGAATGTTTGCCAAAATGTTGATCTAGATTTTAGCTTTGGATGAAAGAATTTCAAGAGACATTTGGTTTACTTTGGTGCTTTTCTGTACTGTTTGAACTTGGTACAACGTACAATACATGTAAGCATTAAACAAAAGTACCTATCTTGCCTATTGTCCAAGGATTTAATAATACAGATCACACAGCATGGAGCCAGTGAGAATGGCAGCACTGTATTATTATGCAAAGTATTCCAGCAAAGAGGATCACGGGTGACAGTCAAGACAGCAGGCTTCACTCCTGGTCTTTCAGGACTAGGGGCAATGTGGCACAGGGGTGGAGAGCATGAGCCCCGTACCCGGGCTGCCAGTGATTGAATCTTTATCTTGTACTTTTAACAGTTCTAGGACCTTAAGCAAGTTGCTAAACCTCTCTAGGTCACAGTCTCTTGATCTGTAAAATGGGAATAATAGGAATAACTACCTCAATTTTTTGGTAAAGATTGAGTACATTAACAAATGTGAAACATCTAGAAAAGTATTGGCATATATTAAGTACTAAAAATATTAGTTGATATTGTTATTACCACTGTAATTACATTCAGCTAATGAGCCTGGACAAGATAACACTGGGTTCCTGGGCCTCATCTGTGAGTTGTCAAGTTTGACAGTGTATGATTCGATGACTAAGTTCCAGGGGCACTCAAGGCGACTCCCATCAGCAGCCATGTCTTGGAGGCAGACAAGCAGCTGGGCTTTGGAAGAATTAAACAAGCATTTTTTTGAATATGTTTTTGAGCTTGGAACCTGCTGGGTGTTATGGAGGACACAGGCAAGATGTAGTGCCCCTTCCTTAAGCAGTCTGTGATCTCACCAGGGAGATTAGCTATCATCCACAGACTAATTAGAGAACAATGCAAACACTACAGTGGTCCCAACTTACAAACTCATGATGTTCCAAAACTTGCCTTGTCATTGGTTGTCTGATGCTTAGAAACAGTTTTTCCACAGAATAAAGCTATAAATTTTGAGAGGGTGGCCAGGCTCACCCAAAAAACGCAATTTAACCCATAATGAAGCTAAAATACTATGTATATGAAGTTTAAAAAAGGGAAAAAAAGGCCAGGCGCGGTGGCTCATGCCTGTAATCCCAGCACTTTGGGAGGCCGAGGCGGGCAGATCACGAGGTCAAGAGATCGAGACCATCCTGGCCAACATGGTGAAACCCTGTCTCTACTAAAAATACAAAAAATTAGCTGGGTGTGGTGGTGCGTGCCTGTAGTCCCAGCTACTCGGGAGGCTGAGGCAGGAGAATTGCTTGAATCCGGGAGGCAGAGGTTGCAGTGAGCTGAGATGGCGCCACTGCACTCCAGCCTGGTGCCTGGCAACGGAGCAAAACTCTGTCTCAAAAAAAAAAAAAAAAAAAAAAAAAGTAAAGAAAAGAGATACTGTTGCCAGAGTAGTAATTAAGCAAAACCCAGAAAAACAAGGGATTTAAAACAATCCTTCTAAAGCTGCTGCTTGAGGAATGAGGATTCAATTCTGTAATGCAAATGAAATCATGGGGATGTAGCTGGAACATGGTAGGTGGTCTGTCAATGAGGAAAGTTAAAAAATGGGCCAAGTTTGTCATCCTAAAAGCCTTTCCATCCACAGACTGCTGGGTGGTTTACAAAGTATCTTAGAGTCGTGATCTATCTCATTTGGTTTCCGACACAATCTTTTAGGTAGGGAGCCAGCCAATCTGAATTCCATTTCAGAGGCGAGGGAACTGAGGCAAAGAGAAGCAATCTATGGGACATCTTAGAGCTGTCAGGATACAGTCAGCAACAGAAGCCAGATTTAATGACTATTAGTTTAGCTTCTTTCCACCAGAGAGCAAGATGGGGATCTTTCAAATAATTTAGAG